GAGGCATGCCACTAAGGGAGTTCTGGGACCCCAGTCTCTTCTTCTCTTTCATTCCTGCCATGAGGTGAGCAGTTTTGCTCCACCATGCACTCCTGCCATGATGTGCCACTACAGGACCAACCATTCATAGTCTGAAACCCCTAAGACTGTAAGCCAGAGCAAACCTTTTCTCTTTACAAATTGAGGTTATCTCAGATAGTTGTTATAGTAATGGAAAGCACATACAGTTTCCAATGAGAGTGGGTTAGCTTTGACCTATGGTTTCCCCTTCCCCATCTAAGCAAAGCCAAAGATCCCCCATCCTGTTCCTCTAACCATAGACTGCCCCTTGTGCATCACACCCCATAGTGCTCTCCTTGAGGTTTATGTTCCCAGCTCCCTCCTCCCAGAATACACATTCACAGAAGGGAAGGGACCACCTACAACAGTGGGGCTGGTCTGGGCTCCTTCTACTGAGATTGATACCGGATACAAGGAAACTTTGTTCTGATGATTATAGAAATAAAACTGAGAGTGGAGCAGAAACTATCAGGCAAAAGTGTTAATTGCAAGGAAGAAGGAGTTGAGGAAAAGTGTAAGGCTGATGCAGGAGACTCAGCAGAGAGAAGAATAGGCATATATTGGGCTGTTGAATATTCTGAGGTTAGTCACGAGGATGGTTTTTTTTGTTTGTTTGTTTTAGAAATCTTAACATGGTTTAAAAGGATTTTCCCATCTAAGATATAGGTCAATGGCCAGTCTGTCCTTGGAGACATCCTGCATTATCCTGTACCTGGAAGTTTTTTTTTCCTTGTGCTAAGATAAGGGGATAGGGACAGGTACGTTTCATGCATCGTTTACAAGAGAGGAGAGAGAAACTCTTGGTGATCAACGGTTTTATGGATTAAGGGCATGAAAACCTATGTCTCTTGTCCTCATGAGGATCCCTATTTCTATTTGAAGATTGCTAGAGAGGGTGGCACATATCTGCTCCCCTAACCTCCTACCCAGGCATAGTCAGGACTGTAACCTTGAATATGCTGGTCACCTTTTCTTCTATGTTCAGTTAAATTTCTGAGCCCAAATACTGACCAATTCTAGTCACACCCAGGCTTCTTCAACCTTGGATACTTCTTAACAAAGACCACCTTCAGCTCTAAATCTCTGACCTCTTTCCTAGCCAGAAAGCAGGGACCCCCAAAACACATGTCCTCAAGTACTAGGCTTGGTATCTCTCAACCACTGTCAAGTAATTAGGTACCTGTGACCTCACAACAGTTTTGAGTAATAGCTTGCAAGGAGGTCCCAGTCACAAAGCATCCAACAGAAGCCAGATTCCAAATCCATGAAAAGGGGGGATGAAATACAGAGACTTGGAACCATAGGGAACCTGCACAGGAGGAGGTGCAGAGAAACCAGGAGCACATGGCATAGGTTGCCTCTCTGTTTTTGATGTGACCCCCTGTGGCTGCCCCAAAGACCCAAGAATACAGCTCAAAGGGGGCTGTCCATTGTCCTATGCAGTCATACTTTATACCTGAAAAATCTTACAAAGAAGGGAATTCCCTTGGTGCTTGTCAAAAGTTCAGAACTTTTAATCAGATCTTGGTGAACTGCTATCAGATAGACAGGCATAGAAAGCTTTCTCTTGGCTGGGAAACTGTGTTGACTTCAGAATAAGCCTTCCAAGAACCACAGATAAAAATAGTTTGTCTGCCTCCTCTGCTGAATAACATAAAAGGCCAGAAAAGAGAAGAGGGGCTGTAAACCCCTTTCTCTATTTTAGGAAAGGAGTGCTTTATTGGTTGGCTTATTGATAATCATGGAGCATAGAGCTGGAAGGACATCAGGACAATGGTTTCCAAATTGTCTGTAAAATCTTAAGAGTTCAGGGAGTCCCAAGGAGGCCATCATGAAAGTAAATAAAGGGTCAAATTCATCAGACCACTCCTTCCCAATTTCAACCAGGGAAGCTCTGCTTCTGTGTATTAGGATCTGTCAAAAATGGTTTAATGGCTAAAGAAATGTGTGGAAGACCACTAGTTAGGCCAATGCATTATTTCATAGGGAAAACAAAACAAAACAGAAAGACAGGGACCAAAGAAGCTGAATGACTTGTCCACAGAAAGTGAATGGAAACAAGGTGAAAACTTGGATCTCCTTACTCTTAGTTCACTCTACATCCATTCAGAAAATAGGGATTTGGTGTCACTGGATGGAAGGCCTTTGCTTGGGAATGAAGGAGTGCCATGATGAGATAGACATGGTGACTGAACTCTAAGGAGCTTAGGGTCAGGACATGGTTCCCAGAATGTCCACTTAGCACACAAAGTTTGTTGAGGCTCAGAAAGTAGAAATTCAACCCAGCAACATAGTTTTCCATATTGATTCAGTCAGCACATCTAGATCTGGGAGGAAAACCATTTCATTCTTCTGGAAAGTTGGTGTTGCTGACATGCTTCTAGGTTGACAGTTGTTTCCTCTGAGCGCTCCTATCCCATGACTCCTGAGTGCTAGCGAGAAGGTACCTGTCGATCTAATCACCATGCCTCTGTAGGTGTCACGCCTTCCAACCTGGCTGCTTTTTACGTCTGCCCTCTGCCTTTGGTGTTCTGCCTTTTCACCACAGTGTATCAAGCTGTGTGTTTTATTTTATTTATTCAGCTTTGGGCACATTGTACTTCCTGAAATTGTGAATTTGCTTATTTTATTAATTCTGGAAAACTCTTTATCCTTGCTTCTTTGAATATTGCTTCCCTACCGTTCTCCCACTTCTACCTGCCTGTTAGACCTGCTCATCCATCCACCATATCTTTTATATTTTTGATCTTTTTTCTTTGCAACTCATTTTTTAGCCAGTTCCTCTCTCTGTTTCCTGGTTTATTAATTCTCTCTTCACCCATGATTAATCTATCATCTAATTCCCCTATGTTGAGTGCTTTATCTTAGTAATCATGTTTCCTTTCTGCAAGTTATTTTTCAAGTACACCAGATCATTCCTGATGGTATCTGGCCCATTATCTGTTTAAAAACATTTCTTACATTCTTATTTTTTGTCTTGTATCTGGAAGTTTCTTGTTTTATGAATAGAATAATTTCCAATTACTTACTCAAACCATAAAGGCAAGAAGAGTCAAATAGCAGCACTTGTTTGAGTATTCACACAAACAACTCCCGAGTATTTAAGGAAATATATAAAATTTGCATCATCATTTAATTGATAGTTATTTTAAGGTATGCATGCTATATTGATTAACCAGAAAGTATGTATCTGGAAATTTTGAACTCTAAAGTCCTTAAAGATCTACATTTTTTTTTCTGCCATCTTTCATTTTTCTTTTCCGGTGAGTCTGTGGTCTTGAATTGTGAGCTCCTTTTTTGCTTCACCTTAATCTGTGCTAATCCTGAGGGCCTACTATAGGGACAGTCCCCTCCAAAGAGGATTTATGGTTGCTTCTGCCTAACCCTGGGAGCCTTATAGCCTTACTAACCTTGGTCCCAAAAGGGCCCAAGACCAGGCTCATTCCAGGTTGGATGAGTGTCTCAGATTTAGCTGCCTCCACTTGTCCTGCCTGTGCTGAGACTCGATGTCTTCACCAATTGTCAGTGTAGCATTTATCTTCTGAGCAATTCTACCTTTGGCATTTCTTCCTACCCACTATTTCCACCTCTGGTTTCAGCTCATGATTTTGTTTGAGTTTACTGAGATGAGGAAAGGGAGATAACAGGGCTGTCCTTGGAGATTTCCTGTGCATCCTGCAATTTTCACAATGCTTTAAAAAGTATGTTTTATCCAGGGCCTCATTGTTATTGTATGGGTTGGCCCTCACAAGTAGGTGATCTGCCATAATGCAGGTGGGGGAGGATCTCTTTCAGTATAAAGAATCCTGTTCCTGGAGTCCCCGTGCTGCTGTGTTTTGTCCTGACACTTTCAGGCTCAGAGTCCTGTCACCTTGTTCTTTGAGAGATCTGGTAGACATGATATCTAAAGAAAGAAATGAATGAGAAGCACAAGTTAAGCTTTGTCTTCCCAAAGAGCATGTCTCGATTTTCTTTTGCTCCAGGAGGTCATGGCCTGGCTCTTTCTGATCTATCCACCTCATCTATCTTTCTTTTATACCCTCACATGTTGATAAAAATCTTTACTTTGGTGATAGTTCTAGTCCCTTATCTTTGAATAGTGCTTTCTAGAATGCAAAACACACACATACACACACAACACACACACACACACACACACACACACACACACACACACACACACACTGACTTGCCTATCTTCTCAGTTGTCTTCTGAGCATAGCATCAATGTTCCCACTTCAGGACACTAGAGTCCAGAGAGGCTACTCAACTTGCTTCAGGACCTAAAGTCTATTCAGCAGAACCGCTACACATACCTTCTGGCCCCAAATTCAATATCTTTTCCCATAAAACCTTCCTTCCATAAGAAAGTAAAACACACTCAATGATTCATTCATTCATTCATTCATCTAATTTTTATTGGTCATCTGTTCTGTACCCAGACACTGTACTGGGCATGAGATGTTACTAACAACAAACCCTTGCCCTTCCAGCACTTCAATTACAGTCCAGCTGGTGGCAGATGATAAATAAACAAAACAACAATGTACTATCAGATAGTGGTCATTGCCATGATGAAAAGTAATACGGAATAGATAGAGTGGAGTCCTAGGGGAGCATGGGCAGGATGAAAGACATGAAGGAAGGAACCATGGGAAAAACCAAGAGAAATGTAGGCCTGGTAGAAGGAACAGCATGTTCCAAAGCCTAAGACAGGAAAGCATGTTCTACCAACACTGAAGGGCCCTGTGACTGCTGGTCCAAGCAAAAGGGAGAGAGATGAGATAGAAGAGGTGGCTAGGGACCAAGTTAAGGAACACCTAGGAACAGGTTTGAGAAGGAAAAGAAAGTCTGGCCCTCGAAAGTTTGCTTCCTACTTAAGAAGAACCCATGTGCTGATCAACATTAGGTTTTAACAAATCTCCCTCTCTTATTCACAGGCTTACAGGTTTTCCCAGCTTCCTGAAATGGTCATGGGCTCTCCCCCTCCACCTGTACCTCCGCGGACTGGCCCTGTAGCTGTGACTTCCCTCAGGCGGTAACACATTCCTTTCTTTCTTTGGTACATTTGGAAAAGGTTTGGTCCTGTAGGATTTGGTCCTATGGACAGTAGCACCAGTAAATTTCCTTTATAGCCTGCCCCCCCTCAAGGTGCAGCACCTGTACAGACAACCATGTGCCTGGGGTACCTTAATAACATGAAGGAAGTGGGGTGGGGTCACAGAGGGCTGACCAACTGTCATTTCCTTCAAAATAAAAGTTCCTGAGAACTCGTAGTCAGAAATGGCCAAAGTCAACTGTCCCATACCTTGAAAACTCCATACCCTGACCTTGAACATCTGAAAATGACTCCAGCTCAGGCTACCAATCTGGGTGCTCTGCTGTGTTTCCAGAAGCCCCTTTGTTACTTAAGGGTAGTGTCTGAGAGGCCATAGAGAAATGCTTCTGGGCACTCGCCCCCAACTCTTGATTTCTAAGAGGGAGAGGCTGAAAATACATGAACTCACTCATCTCAGTATGAGGCACTTGTTAAACATTCTCTTTGCTCTATAACCATATAACTAACACACATGTCAAATACAGATGGATAGGAGAAACACAAAATCCATGAGCTCTGGGAAAGATTGGAATAAGCCAGATGTCCAGGGTTGAGAGGGACAACTGTGTCCTGGGGCACCCCAGAGCCACTCCCCTGGCCCTCCTGTCCCAACCTTCCCCAACTCCATGTCACACCCCATCTGGAGGCCACCAGTATATACTTGTGAAAATGGTGAAGAAAACAGTGAACTTCCCCCAAAAAATACCCTATTCTGAGTTCTTGCAGCTTGGAATGTGGGGCTGTGTAGACACCACCCTTGAGGTTGGTGGAGACCAGAGTGGGGTGGAAAGCAGATGAGAGGGTTCCAGTATTCAATTCCTTATCCATAAGCTGAGAGCAATGGCTTAAAGCTGGATTCCTTAGAAGGAGTCTCAAAAGAGTAGAGAGAGCAGAACCCAGGAATTTTCTGGAAAGGGTGTGAAGAGTAGCAGAGGCCTAGACCATCATGTGGGAAGCCAGGGCTGTAGGAACAAGTAGGCAGGAGAGGAGAGGAGGGTGTGAAAAAGAAAGAGAGACCCACAATGCCATGCTACCACCCTACCCTATGGTGAAATCTTATAGTTTCCTCCTTGGGGCTTCTTAGGTATTCCTGCAAGTCCTGGATGGAGGGCCTCATGTCACCCTGTGTGCATTGAATTCTTATTTCTTGTGCTAACCACTAGACCCTCCCTTGCCCTTCTGCACCACCCGCCATCTCACCAAAATCCGGAGATCACTTTCCTTCATAGAAACCCACAGAATAAGACCAGGACCGCACCTTCAGGGTGAACTTATCATTTTCCAGATGAGGAAACTGAGGCTTAGAGAGGGGAGGTAATGAACCCAGACCCCTGCCTCCCCACCCTCTCTCCCTGTGTTCTCTTCTGCTCTTGCTGCGACAGCTGCCCTCTGTCAGGGTGGCCCTGCCACTGGCCTCTCGTTTTAATTTGAGGGATGCTAGAAGGCCCCTGTGAATCACTTTAGGCAAAGAGTGTTGCCTGCAGGGAAAGCCTCCTTCCTAGATGGGGAGATGTCTGGGTTTGCCGAGCAGCTGCCTTCCTCTGCCCTGCTTTCTAAGAACAGAGTGGAAGGTGATGTGTTCAATGGGCCTGATTCTCGGTTGCCTGTGGGACTGAAAAAGAGCAGGGAGTTTATCTTGTTCATAGTGCTCATGAAGTCCTGGTCACCCCCTGCTCCCAGGAGTCTTGGACTCCCAGCTTCCTGCCCCAGGAGCAGCAAATGTGGCACCCCAGAGTCCTGTGGCACTCGTCAGTAGCAGTAAAGAGAAATCCTCCCACTCCAGACCCATCCTTCTCACCGACTGCTGCTGGTATCATCACCTCCCAGGTCCAGCATCCCAGTTAACACCCAGCACTAATTGCTTTGCTTCATTTACGTGGAAATTAAATGTCCTACTACCCAGAGGCATGAGAACCAACCTTAGGAGAGAACTGACCTTGAACAGCTAAAAAAAGACTTCAGCTTGGACCACCATGATAGCTGCTACAAGTCTGGGCACCTCCACTGTACTGGAGACTCCAGAAGTCCCTTTGATATTTGGGGGCAAACTAGTCCTAAGGACCCCACCCCTGTGGGCCTTGCAAGCAACAGCCAACTTTTACAGGTGACAGGGCTGCCAGGCCCTGCTCATGCAGCTCCTCTGTCCTGCACAGGTCGACCTCAGACATTGGCAGCAAGACCAGAATGGCTGAGTCCGCCGGGCCTGAACCCGCCCATCTGCACGACAGCGCCTCATTTGCCCAGGTGTCCAGAGGCCCAGTGTCAGTAGCGCAGCTGGATCAGTCAGCTTTAAATTACTCAGGTGAGAAAGAGGAGGAAACCTGAGGGCCCCAGTCCCTGATGCTGGGCCCCTCCTCCTCCAGGTCCCTGATCCATGTCACCTGCCACCTGCCTCTAACCAGAACCAAAGCCACCACCTGTCTGATCCTCTTCGACTTCAGAGCCCTCACTAGAAGAGCTAAAATACCGAATTATGCTAAGTCAGGGGGTATGTCATGTTGCCACACTTCAGTTGGAGGCTGGGGAAGTTGGTTAAAGTGTGTTTTATCTTTAAAGCATTATGCATACAGCTGTCCTTCCCCTCCTCGTTTCCTTCTCCCCAAGGTAAACACAGTCCTTAAGCCATGGGTTTTAATCTTCTGCTGCACATGTGTGTCTATATAACAGTGTATGTCAATGTCCTATGCATTTTAAATTTGCACAAACAATATGCTATATATTTCCTTTTGCACATTGTTTTCTTTTTCTAATGTTTTATTATAAAAAGTGCCAGATATACACAAACATAGTGAGTCTGCTTAATAACTTCTGAATTCATGATCTAGCTTCAATAATGATGAATATTTTTGCCAACTCTCTTTTTTCTGTTTTTCTTTGTGATGCTGAGGATCAAACCCAGGGCTTTGTGCATGCTTCCCAAGCTCTCTACCACTGAGTTACATCCCCAGCCCTTGCATTTTATCTTCTTTACTCAGTATTGTTTGCAAGATTTCTCCAGACTGCTACATAGTATCTATGACTTCATTCATTTAAACTGCCAGGTAGTGGGCCTGGTGTGCTGGTGCATGTCTATAATCCCAGCTACATGGGAGGAGTAGGTAGAAGGATAAGGCCTAGGTTGGCCCCAGGCAAAAAATCACAAGACCCTATCTGAAAACTAAAGCAAAACAGGCGGAGGGGGGGCTAGGAATGTGACTTGAGGTAGAGCACTTGCTAGGTAAGTATGGACTCTGAATTCAAACCCCAGTACCCCAGGAAGGGAGGGAGGGAGGGATAAGAGAAGAAAGGAAAGAAGGAAGGAGGGAGGAAAGAAACAAAAGAGGGAGGGAGGGAGGGAATAAAGGAGGTGAGGAAACAAGGAGGGGAGAGAGAGAGGGAGGGAGGGAGGGAGGGAAGTTCTTTGCTATGACAAATAATGCTGAAGTGGAACACAGAGGTTGGTGCCACACCTTCTAAGCTAAAACTGCAAGAGCCCAACTGTCCATTAATTAAAATATTCATGGTGTTCAAGAATTCCACCCAGGAAGTCCATTCTTTCTGGTTCTTTCTCTTGAATTTATTTTTTGGGGAGTGCTACTGGGGTGTGAACTCAGAACCTCACACTTGCTAGGCAGGTGTTCTACTACTCGAGCCATGCCCCCAGCCTTTTCAGTTATTTTTTTCGATAGGGATCTTTTTTATTGTCGCACTGGGGTGCACAGTGACACTTACACAAGTTCTTACAGTATATCATAGTTGAATTCACCCCTAGTTATTTTGTAGATAGTAGGGTCTTGAACTTATGGCCACAGCCAGCCTCAAACCAAGATCCTTCTACCTATGTCTTCCTCATAGCTGGGATCCCAGGTATGCACAACCATGCGCAGCTTATTTGTTGAGATAGGGTCTGGCTAACTTTTTCCCAGACTGGTCTTGAGCCATGATCCTCCTGATCTCAGCTTCCCAAGTAGCTGGAACTATAGACATGCACCACTGTGCCCAGCCTTTTGGATCTTTTAAAATACTCATCCTCCTCAGAGGAAAGCACCTGTACCCTGAGGTGTCCTTTCCTCTGACCATCAGATCAGGAGTATTGGGCTAGGGATGAGGGAGTTGATGAGGGCTTAAATGTATTAGGGAGCTGGGTCATCAAAAGCATTCTGTAACCACAGATGATGCCTCCTCTACTGACTGGGCAGGTGACAGAGGCTGGAGCTGCAGAAGGTGGTCTCCAATTCCCCTAAACACTTTCCCCAGACTCCCTGCTTCCCCCTGCTCGGGCAGGTGCAGACCCAGTGGTGAGGAGCCACCTGGGCCCATCACTCCCTTTTGAGAGGGTGGGAAGGTGGGGAAATTGGAATTGCACTGGTGAAACTGGAGAAAGGCTTCCCTTCCCCTGGTAAGCGCAGCCCCGATCTCCAGGCACAGAGAGTGCAGGCTGGACTTCAGTCCCACTTTGACCTCTAAGCTGGACATCCTGTGCAGGGACCTTACAAGAGTGCCATAAAGGAGGCAGACCACGTGGGTCACCCTCCTTGTTACATGGAGTCTCAACCATTATGGCCAGGGCCTCTCTGCCTTAGATGGAGCATTACAGCCCAGCAGGCCCCACTCATCTAAGATATCAGGCCCAGAAGACAGCCAGGCAGCCTGTGAAACAGGCCTTATTTGCCTCTTGGGGAGCTGGATCCCAAAACCCAGCTTCTCCTGATGTCCACCCCCCTACAATGTCCTCCATGCCAGGTAACACGGTGCCAGCAGTGTTCGCCATCCCAGCTGCCAACAGACCTGGCTTCACCGGCTACTTCATCCCGACGCCTCCCTCGTCCTACAGGAGCCAGGCATGGATGTCCTACGCGGGAGAGAATGAGCTCCCGAGCCAGTGGGCTGATTCGGTGAGACCCTGCTCATTCCCTTGTAAAACTTCACCTGCTTGGAACACTTATGGGAGAAAATGGGATGAAAGAGTGAGACCAAGAGTCTCAAACCAAGAGTTTGGCCATCTTAGCACCCCTCCCACTCACCAGATGGCTGAAGTCAGCCATTTAAAGGAGGCAGTGTGGTGAGGCAGGGCAGCCATTGATAAGGAACTAGAGACCCGTCTTCTAGTGCAGATTCTACCTCTTCCTAGCAGGGCAAACTTAGTCAAGTAAATTTTTATAATAACTACCATCTGTTCGGCATTTTCTGTGTGCCAGACACCATGTTAGATGTTTCATTATATTATCTTATTTAGTATTCACAGCACACTCTCATGCTACTCCCATTTTACAAATGAGGAAACCAGCTCTAGTCATGTGACTTGTTTAAGACCACACAGCTAGTTAGATGGCAAGGCCAGAATTCAAACTCATCCTTGTCTGACTCCAAAGTGTTCATTCTATAAAATTTTAAACCAAAGAGCAGCAAATGAAGCATTATAAACCCAAGATTGAAATTACCTTGCATATAGATCTCATGACTTCCTGCCTGACTTCTGGCCACAGATTGGCTGGTCCTGGTCCTTTGGTGTCTCTCTTCATTACAAGTAGGAACATATGGCACAGTCTGCACCTACCTGGATAGTCACACCCAAACCTGCCTTCAGACTCACCTGTCAATGGCTGCATATGGAGAAAAAAAAAAAAACCTACAAGCAAAACCCAATGGTTGGTTGTCTATTCTGAGTGAGATGACCCCTCATGAGTAAGAAGGGCAGGCTGTCCCTGTGGCCAAACCTAAGAATGCCTTGGTGCTTTAGGTCTTTGGGGTGTGGCCTTAGCATTTGGATTAAGTCCTAGAGTTAGGAAGTTAGTCCTGAAGTCTGGGTCATCTTCTCTCTGTGTTCCCACCCCTGAGGTTCATACTTAGTAGCCTGAACTCAGCATGGAGTCTGTTCTCCCATGGAGTCTGTTCTCCCAGTCATGATGCCACATTGAACTGACAGCCCTACATACATTAATTTTCCTGTTGACCAAAACTCACTCCTTGGATTTCAGAGACTTTTGACAATATATGCCACCGTTGTGTAACAGCAGTTCTGAAATGAATGTTGTCACTCCCCCTCCTTTAAAAGAAGATAAGGCATAATTTAATTTTGTCTCATCAGCATGCATGATTCAGCAGCATTATGAAGTCTCACTATACTAAAATGGCATTTGGAGGACGAACCCTGTGGTCTGCAGGATTACTCTCCCTATGTCAAGTATCTCCAACCTAATATAATTCTTGGAGTTACTACCATGGCTCAGTATGGCTTTTTTTTGCCTGACCTTGCTCCCA